CCGCAGTACTAACCTGATAATTAGACCAATACATTAATACCAAGGCAAAAATGTGGTTTGGATTCCACTATAAACTGTAGGTTCTTAAGCTCCCCATACACTATGCAACATGTTTGACGGACATGTCAGGACCCAACATCTTGTCGAACATATTGGACAGTGTGTGGGTTCCAACCCGACATGCTCGACGGATATGTCAGGTCGGATGCTCGGTCCGGTAGCACCACTCGACTCGAGCAGTCCGCCTGACATGTTGGAACGTGTGTGGGAAACCGTCGAACCGCTCGCCCAACTAGCCACAGTTTCCAGTTGGCTTGTATTTAGTGAGTTGTGCATGATAACCATCCCATTTTTGCGTAATGTCATTTAATGATAATAAACTGTTCTGGTCAGAATTTATTGAACTGTACAGAGACCAGAAGGCGTTGTGGGATGTCAAAAGTAAACTCTATTGCAACAAACATGCGCGTAAAGAGGGGTACGATATCCTGATGGAAAAGTGCAAGGAACTATATCCAGAATGTGATTTTAAGTTTGTTAAAAATAAAATTTGAAAATTTAAGAGCCTCGTTCCGCAGAGAGCTGAAGAAAGTACAAAGTTCCAAGAAAACTGGAAGTGGCCAAGAAGAGATATACGAGCCTTCTCATTGGTATTACAACCTAATGATATTTATAACGATCAAGAGAGTGTACAAAAAGGTATCTCGTCAATCGATAAGAGATCTACAACAATTGAGGACAAAGAAAGCGTGGATGACGTGGAAATACCAGAAAATTTCATACCGAAGTAGACGTGGTATGTTCGATAGTGTGAAGGTCCATGTTAAATTTCTAAAAGTTTAAATTCACGTGGGGAAAAGCCTTGTGATCCAATTTGTACCATTTCAGATTTATACCTTCCCATGGTTGGTTACTATGACTGTGCAAAATTTTGTACAGATTGCTTCAGCCAATCAGGAAGAGTATTTGTAAAACAAAAGCAGGAGTGTAGTACAGGAGCTTTGCTCAACTACGGTATATGAGATGTTTGGGATGATAAACTATGGTGCCATTAAAATATAAATTGGGTTACTGGAGGCAAACTGTCCAGCTATTTTATGAAAATCCAACTCATTTAAAGTCAAATGAAACTAACAAATAGTTGGCTACTAGAGTTTTAAAGCAAAATTGTCCATTTAAATTGAGTTAAAAGTTTGATTGAAAAGCTTAATTTTCCATAAATTTGCAGCGTAATTTAAAGAAGTGTCAGGGGAACCCCCCCCCCCCCACGAATTATAACTATGGGTCAGCCCCCAGACCTCCAGCATGGGTTAAAGAAAAAATTTGGGGGGGGATCTGCGACGTGAGCTTTGGGGGGGTGATGGGTACCCCTGGTGACTATTGCATCTCTTTGACTGCTTGAAAACACCTAATACTGTATCAACAATCACAGATAGCTCAGAGGTAAGGTAAGGAGTTCACGAACTGAAGGTCTCAGGTTCGAGACCCATCTGGGCAAGATATTTTTTCTAGTTTTTTATCACAATTTGCTTTTATAAACTATTTAATCAAAATACTCAAATGATTGCTTGATTTAGTTTGCTTTTCATACTAAATCATTATTATTTGGTGGTTTCATGTAGGATATCCCCATGGGTTGGTCCTATGTGAAAAACAAATGCTTAATTTGTTGTAAAGTCAATTTTTAAATTGCTGTAAAACAATTTTAAAGTTGTTGCAATATAGTTGGAAACAATTTTTTATCTATATAAATAAAATTAGAGTTTTGTCTGTACATTGCTAAGAATCATAAATTTTTGGGTTATTTTTACGTTTTATACATTAAAGAAGCCGAAAGACGTCTTATCTAAATTTCTGTCTGTCTGTCTGTCTGTCTTTCTGTAACACTCAAGATGGCATTTTACGCAATCTTCTCCAGGAAAACGAGAGTACCTATCAAGATCCAAGTCATTTTAATGTATTCACTGGATTGGTGAGAGTGTCTTTAGCCATTAAAATATGGCCTCACTACTTAGTAAAAAAAATTACGGATGTTCAAAAATGCAGTTTTGTAAGATTTTTGTCATGTTTTCGTCAAATTTTGATCACATAATGATCTATGAAATAACGAACAGCTGTTTGGATCAAGATCATTTTTTCTAGCTGTCACTGATATATTTACAAAATGTTGTTTACAAATACCGCAACCATTTCCGATCACGTTTTGAAGGTAAATCCCATCCAAGTGAGATTAAAAAAGATTTTATTACGTAATGGATGTAATTAATCGCAAGTGGAATAATATACAATACAATACAATACAATACAATATTCTTTATTGTTAATTCGTCAAGAATTGCAATAGTGTCAATACAATAGTGAATTAATTGTACATGTTAATTTTCATAAAATTCCTTCATTGAGTAGAAGGGTCTTGCGATTAGCCACTTCTTCAACTCCTGGTGTAGCTTGTTGCCAGTCAGGTCTCTCAGGTAGTCAGGTAGATGGTTCCTCAGCTTGCAGCCGGTGTAGGAAGGTTTTTTCTTCCAAAGAGTTGTTCGGTGAACTGGTAGTGCAAATTTGGAGCCATGACGGGTGTTGTAGTGGTGCAGGTCTCGGTTTCTTGGGGGGTTTATTTCATTCACATACTTTATAGATTCAAGTATGTAGAGAGACACCACTGTGAGGATTCCTAGGTTTGCGAATGCTAGTCTCCAAGTCTGTGGTGGGACAAGGTTGGCGAGGGCTCTTATGGCTTTCTTTTGAAGGACAAGAATTCGATTCATATTCTTTGTTGAAGTTCCTCCCACAATGTCAAGCCATATCTAAGATTCGACTCTACCAGTGCGAAGTAAGCTGTTTTGGCCACGGAGAGTCCGCCTATGTAGTTTATTCTTCTGACGACATATATTCCAGTACTGATTTTTTTGCTTAAGTGGTTGATATAGTGTAACCGTAAATGAAATTAAACAACTAGGCATCATCCAGGTCAGGAACCAGAGATTCTTTGTGTATAAAATTGTTCTTGAGTTTTGATAACCAGAAAGAAGACCTTGAATCAGTGTTGTAGAGGGCTGGGAAACTTGAATTTATTAATGATCGTCGCCAATAGCTTACAAACAAGGTTTCCACTCATTGACGGTCTTCAATGGTGGTTGTGTAAAGTGTAAAGTGTAAAGTAAAAAATCACAACTGCAGTGGGTGATTGTAACAGAGGTTTACGGTTTATGGATGATGCTAAACTCGCTTTTCCAACGTGTCACTTTCTGTTCCTACTCAACGTATGATGCAATCGCTGGACCATACAGCCAATAGGCCCATAGCCCATCTCTTGGGTACTTACGCCTACCCAATTATTCATAACAACCTTTTCGACGACCCTTGATACCGGTACTTTTCCCTAGAATACACGGCCGAAATAAAACTACAAACTTACAAAAACCCAGCATTGGGTGATTTTTGTCACATTTCCTTCTAATGTTAAAAGATATACCAATCATTGTTTAGAGAATACGTGCTCTATTAAATAACAAAAAGTTGTTTGTATAAGGTTGTTTTTTTTTTTTCAAACTGACACCAATAAGTTTATATTAAAAGTTGTTTACGAATAAAGCAATTAATGGGAAATAACTTTGATTGCCGATAACTTTTTACGAGGAAATTCAAAACCAAGAGATCAATAACCTCGGGACTTGATTAGGCTAACGCATTCATTTAATTGGTCGGACGTAATTCTTAACTGTAAACGTTGGTTTTTGGTACTGGTTCTTTTCCTTAGAACCGTTGGTAGCAGCAAGAATCATTTTTTCGTACCAACACATCACTGTAATTTACAAATTAGTTACCGTTTGAGTTGCAACTTATTAATAAAGTTGTATTACAGCCGTATTCAATTTAATTGATGTCTTAACTGTATAAGTTTTGCTTTTTCTGTCTGGATTCCAAAATGTTAGTTTATGCCAAGAAAATGATAACTATTTTAAGTAAAACATTTGTTCAGCAAACCATAATGAATTGTTTACAATTTACGTTGTTTATATATCAATAGTTGGTGGCCTATTTTGGTAATTTTTATTATAAATTACCAATATAAATTGTCTATAGTACTTCATTTCATATAGTAAGCCATCATTTCAACAGCGTTTCGGGTCATCTTCGGTCCAAGCAAATATAAATTGTTATGATAAAATTTGATGACATTGACAAAGATTTCTAATTCTAATTTTATATGTACTTTTGTTATGCTTAAAACGTAGCAAATTCCCTAATTAAGTTCTGTATTTTTGTGTGTATGTCTGTTGGTAATGCATTAATGTCCTTATTTCTCAGTGCCACGAAAAAGACAAGAGCACCTTTGATAATGAAAATGTCAACCCGAATAAAGTGTTAAATGGTGAGGTTGAGGTATAGTACTTTAAATACTTTTAACCATTGTGGGAAGTTATTTTCAACTATAGTCCTCCCTGGGGGCTATGCCTCATAGATCTAGGCCTATATAAAGCTTTTTTTTAGTTTAATCATTGGATTTAACATATGGACCAACACGATCCGGGTGACATTTAATTGCGAAGCATTTTTTTTGGCTTGAAACTGTCAGATACTGTATTTGCGAAGGTTTAGGTTTGCCAGCTCATCTGAAAATATGCAAACCAACTGCTGTTCTTAATATAAGAAGGTTTCAACTGACTACTATAAGCTCCCCGTGCGTAGAACGGGCACACAGCTAGTCTATATTAAAATGAAACTGTTGTCAACTATACATTAATAACAGTTTCAAAATAAGTTTAAAACTTATATAGGCCTAAAACAAAACAATTTTTCCTGTTTTTCTGCTACTTGGGATGTGGAAACAGTTCCGGGCTTAGCGTCCTAAGATGTGAAGGTGTACAAAAAATTATGTTATAAATCATAAACTTACAATATTGTAAGTTGTACACTTAATTATTAAGGGTAACATTTATTTAATGAATTAGCAAGTTGTTTCTCAACAACCATCAAAGCAGTTAGTAGTTTAACTTTACCCTGAAGGAGAGGACTCTGTTAGTCTCGTAGTCCAACAATGAGTTGTCCCTCACACGGATTGTGAACTGAGCCTGACCCTCCGCTACACTCGGGCTCACCTCAAAAGTGCCGTTGTTGTTTTCCAGTGACAGAGCAAACACACCTATCTTTCCCTGCAAAAAAACGATATTACTACGTTTATTCTTCAATAATAAATAAATACATTTATCTTATTGCACAAAAACAGATTTTTTGGTTCAGTAAAATTTCAACAAGTTTACAGCTGGCATTCCGTGTGCAGACCTCAAACACTCCATTATTGACATTTAAAGGTCAACATTATGAGTCTTAAACTTAAATAAATATAAAGTAGTACAGATATTTAATATTAATAGATGAATAATTGACCCTTCAATGCGGTTTGACAAGCCATCCTTATCACATGTAAACAGTCACTGCTACGGTTTGACGAGACCCATTTATAATGAAACTAGCAGAGTACCCGTCCTTCGTGCGGATTTGGCGTATAAGTATAAAATGCTTATTGTAGTTATACTCATGTTCTGTGTTTGCAATGAGGGAGGACACTTATCTTGAGAAAATTTGGTTATTTAAATTTACTGTATGCTATAGCTATCCACCATAGCCACATGTTCTACCACTGCACCTCATCCACTGCAATAGAAATAATTTATTTTTGTAAAAAAATACAACTGACTTCAAATGCTCTAAAAAGAATTAAATAATTTCAATAAAGTAAACTTTTGTATTAGTCAAGCTCACGTATTTTAAGTTGGCGCGGCTCTATGATGATTTTTGATACAAAATTAAAGAGGATGTCCACATTGCAGGTGACCATCTATAACTGAAGGTGTTAATCTGCATACTGTAACCAAAGATCGGCAGATACCATCATAAAGTTTTTTATTATAAGATAATAAATTATAATCTTATAGTGGTATTAACGAGTATCTTTAAAAACATTATACTGTAACGCATTTAAATGTTTCTAACTTGGAAAAGTAACGTTTTAATATTAAACTAGCTTTCTTTTCCCTATCATAATATCAAAATAAATTATTTTCCTATTCATATAGAACATTTGTGTGTTATTTTCATAATTCATTCATTCTGAAGTAAACATAAAATAGAAGAAAATTTCCTTTGATATATAAACAAAAAAGTTCAGTATGTTTTTTATATATTTATCTTATCTAGCTACAATTTATTGATTTTCAAAAATACACTCTCAATCTTTTATTTTATTCATATTTGCAGTTAGAGCCACGCCGACTTGAAATACGTGAGCTTGACTAATACAAAAGTTTACTTTATTAAAATTATTTCATTCTTTTGAAATAATTTTAAGTCGGTTGTATTTTTTTACAAAAATAAATTATTTAAAGATTTTTAGTGACTGTATAATTTAAGGGTTTTTTACAAGCAAAACTGTTTGAAACAATCAAAAGTGCCATAGAACAATCATTATTTTAAAAAAGCTTGAGTCACCTGTTCAGGTAGCAATGGCAATAGCTATGGTTATAAAAATTAACATTTTTAGATTTTTCTTAAAAAACAAACTGTTGTCCATGACAGGCCTAATAAAAAACTAAATGTCTTTCCTAGAGACTTTGAAATGCCAGACATCATCATTTCCTGCAATCGGTGTACTTCTACATTATAAAAAAAAAGAAATACAGTACCATCTCAAGCCTTTTGGAACAATCTGAAAGTTATTCCTCAGCCACCAGCAATAAAAAATATCTCAAAAGTATAAAATTGGTTGTTATCATGTATAGTACCTTTGGAAAATATGTATATGAAAAATTGGTTCAGCTAAAATCGGTGTAAGGGGTCAAGGGGTAGGTGGTTTTGTTTACTCAAGATGTAGTTGAAATTGCAAATCAGCTTCCTCCTAAAACTATTCCAAGCAGGCATAATAGTATTGACAGGAATAGTATGAATAGGTGGAGAATATTAATAAACATTACACATTTGCAAATGCATGTTTAGTAATTAATACGTTCACTGCGTTACGAGATCCCGGGGTCTCGTATCGCACCTAGCCCGTGGTGTGGGACCGACAACTTGCTCTTTTCCCATAAATTACGACATTGATATTTCGGCCTACGATTATCGTAAAGAAATTAAACTTGTACATAAATAATGCATTTTTATTGCTGAAACAGCTGGTATTCATGAAACAAACGAGATAAATAGATCTCGTAACGCACTGAAGTAATAAACTTTTACTTTATTACAATACGAGACCTCTGGATCTCGTATCAAAAATAGTTGCTCCAAGCGCCACAGGTGGCGACATCTAGTAGTCTAGCATCAACAGAGAGCGCTAGGGTTATTTGTTGATATATTGAAAGCTAACCTAAACATTGCATTTTAGTGTGGTGAACTGTGTGTACACTGTTTATTGAGTTTTTGTAAGTATGTTTTTGTCTGATGAGGACAACCCTGACGACCCTCAAGTCCCTGACGATCCTGCTAAGGTGTACAATACGCGTAAACGACCAAAACTGATTGGTGTGAATGCCAGTAATAGTGCTTTCTTGGAACAACTGGTTACGGAAGGATTGGATGGGCCGGTCCCTAGTAGTGCATTATCCGAAAGTAGTGACGATGAGCAAGAACTATGTGATTTCGATGGAAGCGATATTGAAGATCCTGACTATGTACCATCATCGGACGATGCTTCGTCAGGTGGTGATGGAGAAAACAATGAAGATGACAACTGCGAGATGGATGTGACAGCGATGACGGATGGGAGGACATTTCGTCAAGATTGTGACCAACGCCATAAACTAACGGACATCTTGTCAACCACACACTCGGCGGAGGCGGAGACGATTGGACAATGGGCGAAGGCGGGGACAATGGGAATAGGCGGGTAATATGTTGTTTAATGAGCAGTCGGCGGAGGCGGGGACCATGGAACAGTCGGCGGAGGCGGCGAAGATGGAACAGTTGGAGGAAGAGGCGAGGAAGATGGAACAGTCGGCGAAGGTGGTAGGGGCATGATCACGACCTCAGGTGGTACCAGCACATCGGAAGGACCTGACATAAATCAATTCGGGTGCTGTTGGGTCGAAGACAAATCACCTTTTACTTTACCTGAGACAGTTTATTTTTAAGAGTTTTGTGGAAATTCAAAAGTGAACATTAACGTTGACAACCCTGCTTCACCTATTGATATTTATCTCCACTTTCTAGACGAAGAGCTCTGGGACTACATGGCCCAAGAAACAAACAGGTATGCTATTCAATTTTTATCATCTAACAACCTTCTGCAAAATCAAGGTCTAATGATTGGCTTCCCACAACAACTGCTGAAATGAAAAAAATTCGTAGGTATTATGATTTGTATGGGCCTAGTTCAACTGCCGCACATCAATTTGTATTGGCCTAAGAATCCGTTATATGGTAACCCGTTGATTAAACAAACCATGACGAGAGACCGCTTCTTGTTGATAAAGAAGTTTTGGCATTTTGTGAATAATGAACGGATTCCTGACCCAAATGACCGTTTAGCTAAGATGAGAGTCATTGTGAATTACCTCAACTCAGCATACATGTATGCGTTGGAACCTGGCAAGGATCTTGTAATAGACGAAACAATGATACAATGATATAAGGTGAGGGAGGCTTATTTTCAAACAATACATAAAGAATAAGGCCCATAAGTATGGAGTGAAAGTGTATAAGCTGTGTACAGTTGACGGCTATACACTTAAAATGATTTTGTATGCTGGGAAGAGCACAAACAGCCCCCATGGGCACACCTATGATGTGGTTTTAGATCTAATGGGGGATTTTGAAAGTGACGATGTCCTGATTGAAGGATTTCTCAACAAAGGAAAGGACCTTAATAACTGAAAACTTTTACACTGGCATACCCATCGTTGAAAAATTCCTAGAACTGAAAACGAGGATGTGTGGAACAGTAAATGTGAACAGAAAGGGATTGCCTAAAGGATTGAAAACTAAGTTGAAAAGGGGCCAATGCATTGGATTTAAGTTCTAGCATGGTACAAAAGTGATCAAATGGACAGATAAAAGAAACGTGACAATGGTGTCATCATCCCCTAATCACGACAGTACCCTAGTAAATTCAGGGAGAAGAAATATAACAAATGAGCCAATACTGAAGCCTAAGTGTGTGCTTGACTATGATAACGTGAAGAAGGGAGTTGACTACACTAGTGATCAGATGTCGTCATACTACACAACGTTACAAAGAAATCTCAAGTGGTATAAAAAAGTTGCCCTTGAGTTCATCACGGGAACCACATTGGTGAACTCGTGGGTAATTTACGGGAAGCTGAACAACGACAAAATGCCTATGCTTAAGTTTAGGGAATCAGTTGCTATAAGCCTAATGGGCCTGGACGAGGCTCCTGTAAGACATGTGACACCACCACAAAGAAAGAGGCCAGCTCATTCTCTCAGCAAATCAGAGGGTGGGGGAAAGAAGAAAAGGCGTCGTTGCAGAGGATGCTATGAGAAACTTAGGAAAACATCCTCTTCAAGAGAGGCCGACAAGAAAACCATAACAGTGAACACCTTCTGCAAAGACTGTCCAGACCAACCATTTTTCTGCCTTGAATGTTTCAATGAGAAACATGTGTCATTTTAGTATTCAGTGTCTTTGAGAACATTAACATTTTATTCATAAAGAAAAATATAAGAATCTTGAACGGCTCATTTGATAAAATATTTTATAACTACAGTATATTTGTTTAGATATTTTCATTCAACACTTAAAACATTGGAATTTTTATTTTGTATAGTAATATTACATATTTTTACTATATTGCAATCCATGTTTTAAAATTGTAATGGAATAAATAATGTGCAAACATATTTCTATTTCTTTTTTAAACCTAGAATCAGCCATGAGAAAACACATTATTATAAAAAGTTTAATTTTATATGTATAAAGTGATTAAATATTTATTTTATTGCAGTCGATTATTAGGAATTTGTAAATAAATAGAAAACACATGTTTTATTGTAAATTAATACAAATAAATTATGAAGTATTACAAATGTGCGATACGAGATCTCGGGGTCTCGTACAATGACGTCATATTCAGTTCCTGGGCTGCCTGAAGATTGTCAACATTGTACTGGTTCAAATAAACAAACACAGAGCGTTCAC